CCCTTCCTCTGTGTTCATCTGTTTCTTAAATCCTACATATAAGTGAAATCATATAATATTTGTCTTTCTCTGACTTATTTTGCTTAGCGTAATGCACTCTAGTTCCATCCACGTTGTTGCATATGGCAAGATTTCATTCTTTTTGATCACCAAGTAATACTCCATTGTATATACATACCACATCTTATTTATCCATTCATCAATCAGTGGATATTTGGGCTCTTTCCATATTTTGGCTATTGTTGATAGTGCTTCTATAAACATTGGGGTGCGGGTGCCCCTGTGAGTCAACTTTTTTGAATCCTTTGGATAAATACCTAGTAGTGCTATTACTGGGTCATAGGGTAGTTCTATTTTTAATTTTTTGAGGAACCTCCATGCTGTTTTCCAGAGTGGCTGCACCAGTTTACGTTCCCACCAGCAGTGCAAAAGAGTTTCTCCGCATCCTCACCAAATCTATTGTTGCCTGAGTTGTTAATGTTAGCCATTCTGACTGGTATGAGGTAGTATCTCATTGTGCTTTTGATTTGTATTTCCCTGATGATGAGTGGTGTTAAGCATGTTTTCATGTGTCTGTTAGCTATCTAGACGTCTTCTTTGGAAAAGTGTCTATTCATGTCTTTTGCCCATTTCTTCACTGGATTATTTGTTTTTTGGGTGTGGAGTTTGATAAGTTCTTTATAGATTTTGGATACTAACCCTTTATCTGATACGGCGTTTGCAAATATCTTCTCCCATTCTGTTGGTTGCCTTTTAGTTTTGCTGATGGTTTCCTTTGCTGTGCAGAAACTTTTTATCTTGATGAGGTCCCAATAGTTCGTTTTTGCTTTTGTTTACCTTGCCTCCAGAGACACGTCAAGTAATAAGTTGCTGCAGCTGAAGTCAAAGAGGTTATTGCCTGTTTTCTCCTCTAGGATTTTGATGGCTTCCTATCTTATGTTTAGGTCTTTCATCCATTTTGAGTTTATTTTTGTGTATGGTGTAAGAAAGTGGTTCAGGTTCATTCTTCTGCATGTTGCTGTCCAGTTTTCCCTGTACCAATGGCTGAAGAGACTGCCTTTTTTTTCCATTGGATATTCTTTCCTGCTTTGTCAAAAATTAGCTGGCCATACATTTGTGGGTCCATTTCTGGATTCTCTGTTCTGTTCCATTGATAAAAGTATCTGTTTTTGTGCCAGTACCATACTGCCTTGATGATTACAGATCTGTAACAAATATTAAAAATTATAATTTGCTTGGAAATTTTCAGTCAAGGGCCTCCTTGTAGGGGCACTATAGAGAGAGAGAGTTGGGTCAGTTCCCCACCAGAACCCAAATGCAAGTTAATGTGTCTCCTCTGTTTCACTGGCCCATATGTAGGGGTTAGCTTAGAGCCACCGTCGTCGGCGGCGGCTCAGCTTTTGATTTAATTACTGGTGATTGATGTTTTGTATTAACATAACTGAGACAAGACCTTCAAACTCTCAAATACAAGAGACCAGAGTTACATTTTTTTATTTCCTTATGCATGTGAGAGAAGAGGAGAGCCTTGATGATCTTTCTGATTTGACACAATCTGTTCCATGTTTGTAACATTTAGAAATTCAGAAGTAGCAATTTGAATATTACAGGAGTGACACATTATTAAATAAGACACTTGGTCAAAATTATAGACTTACTAGAACTTAAGGGTTGTTTTCACAAGACACAGTAGCAATTTCTAAAGTCCACATGTCTTCTTATAAGACTTCTTTTTTACAATAAAATATTTTCAGACTTGTAATACCATCTGCTTTTCTTTGTAGCTATAAGGGAAAGAGGGAACATTTTCTTATGAGGCTGAGATTTCATTTGTCAGGAATTAGGAAGTCCATAGCTGAAATTCCCTTAGTGCTAAGGGAAAAGAAGAAAGCTTGAGAAGCTCAAACTTGTAATATGGAAAGGATAAGAGCGAAACAGATCATGAACAAAAGAACGTGAGCCGTGTAATATTTACATCCCCAGCTGAAAACCTTTTTTTAGTGTTTACCATTTCTGTTCTTTGCTTCCTGAATGCATTACATTGTGTTTCATTTTTGATCTATGTGTATGTGTGTCTGGAAATTTGCAAGTAGGATATTGCCTGTTTTTATTGGATTATTATCACCCTTCAGGGTTTTTGCCTCCAAATGTGTTTGAATTACCAAATTTAAAAGGATTAAAGCATTTAAAATACCCTTATGTAAGGCATTGCATTTAATGTACCTCTGTCATACAATTTCCAGCATGTTAATTTAATCAGGATTATGGGGGCTACACATTTTACATTTTGAACTCTTTCAGAACTTTTCTGACTTTTTGTCATGGCGATGCACATGAATACAACAATTATTCAAATTTAATTTTATATACTTTTTATCAATGTATATGTGTATTTTTTTTGTTAAACTTTCATTTCTTACTGTATAAAATCTTACATTTCATTCCTTGCATTATTGGCCGTATAATTTTAAATTACCATTTTCATGAAATGTATATGAATGATATATTTTAGGACTTCATTTATATCCCTCGATTGCCCTTACAGATGATTAACTTCTTGTTTATTTATAAAGTTTATTTATTTTGAGAGAGAGAGAGCAGGGTAGGGGCAGAGAGAGAGAGAGAAAAAGAGGATCCCAAGCGTGTTCCACGCTGTCAGTGCACAGCCCGATGTGGGGTGGAACTCACAAACCATGAGATCATGATCTGAGCCGAAATCAGACACTTAACCAACTGAGCCACCCTGGAATCCTGATGATTGACCTCTTACCTGGGTCTGAGGGCTCTATTTTCCTTCTTAGCACTTTGACTTTGGTACATTGCTCTGCAGCATTTGGTGTTCTAAAGTCTGAGGATAACCTGACCCTTGAACCCCTCACCTTCCTGCCCACCTTCCTGGTTCATACGTGTTAGTTTTCTCTCATTGGTGTTGTCCAGGTAGTTTTCCTTACTTTGGCATGAAAGTACCGTTTGATCTGCTAGCAACCTTTTTTTCTGCCCAGGAATTCTTTCTTTCAATTGGATTTTTAAAAATGGGTTTGTTTCTCTTGCTCTTTTTTCAAGAGCATCGCATAGTCATTGGTTGTAGCTCCTTTCCTATATAACTCTTACTTACTTTTTGTCACTTTAATCTTTTTTCATCCTTCCTCCTTGAGGAGTTTCTCACATATTTTCACTGCTTTTGTTCTTTATTGCTTCAAATATGGATTCCAGTTTTCTCCTGTTTTTAAACTCGTTGGACTCTTTATCTTAAACTCGCTCCCTTTCTCAGTGTTACCTCTTCTTAGGATGTGCTCTTGTTCAGAGAATGTGCACCTTATACATTTAAGATGTAAAGCAAGCTTTTCTAAACATTTTCTTCTGTTTCCCCATTTTCTGTTTTTCATACATGTACATATTTTCTGTCCTTTAGTTAAACTTTAACATTTTATCCACAGGCCCCATAATATTAGAATCTTCGTCTGCTAGAAGAGCTGGAACCCAGTGTATGACGCTTCCCTTGTGTCTCTAACTGCCTGCTTGGCTGTTGCTGTAATACCCTTTTGTATCACCCTGTTCAGCCGTAACAAATACCACAGACTGGGTGGTTTAAACAAAGGAAATTTATTTGCACAGTTTTGGAGCCTGGAAGTTGAAGATCAGGGTGCCGGCAGGGTATGTTTCTGATGAGGCTTCGCTCCTAGGCTTGTAGATTGCCGCCTTCTCCTGGTGCCTTCATGTGCCTCTTTCATGCGTGTGCAGTCCTGGTACCTCTTCCCTTCTTATAAGGGCACCGGTCCTTTCGGATTCAGGGTCCCCTCTTAAGACCTCATATAACCTTAATTACTTCCTTAAAGGCCTTGCCCCAAATATAGTCACATTGCAGGCATGGGCTTCAACATCTGAATTTTGGGGAACACAGTTCAGTCCATAACACCTTTTCAGGGCAAGTTGAGGTTTCCAGCCTTAGGTGATCCACTGAGGTCTAATTCTGGATTGAGGAGGGAGCTTCTCTTGTTCTTACCTATATACACCCTTATTCTGATGAAGACAAACAATTCCTGAGGGACTGGGTTGATAAGTGCTTGATTTAAAGGAGTAACTAGAGTGACTCCCAAGTTCCCGGAACACTGGTGTCACCTTCCTCGTCTTACGAAGACCTGGTACCAGGCCCAGGCTTCTCCAAGCACAGGCTGTCTGTAAATAGGAGTCTCTACAAATATGGTCTCTTCATGTACTTCTTCCTTTCTTCTTTTGGTTCCCTTCTTCTTTTGCTTTATTTTTAGAGACTGTTTTATTTCTGATTTACTTTTTATTTAAAAAAAATTTTTTTTTAATCTTTATTTATTTTTGAGAGACAGAGTGAGAGTGGGGGCAGGACAGAGAGAGACACTGAATCTGAAGCAGGCTCCAGGCTCCAAGCTGTCAGCACAGAACCTGACTCAGGACTTGAACTCATGAACTGTGAGATTATGACCTGAGCCGAAGTCAGAGTCTTAACCAACTGAGCCACCCAGGCGCCCCTATTTCTGATTTACTCCTAGTTTTTACTCTTAAGGACTGGGTTCCTCAGAAAACATGGATTGACTCCCATGAATAGGTGAGTTCTTGGTAGACAGCTGTGGGAATCACAGCTTTTCATCCTGACTTCCTGCCCCATGTTTTTCAGAAGTCAGAGTGCAAGGACTCTACACCCTTCAGTCCACCTTCTTCCATGTTGTAGTTGGAGGAAATTCCTCCTAGAGAAAAAAAAAAAAGTATCATATAAAAATACTTCTTTAGGACTTCCATACATATTTTCATAGGGAATTGGGGAGATGGGGATGGAAAAGACAAGCTTTCTGCTCTCCCTAGCTCCCTAGCAGATCCTGTGCTTTAGCTAAATAACTCATTGCAAGTAGGGAAGCTGGTTTTCAGAAGGGGTCACAAAGTCTGGGAGCCCACACAATCTGGCTGGGTGAGTGGTGGTCATAACTCTTCTCTGAGGAGGGTCATCTCTGGTTTCCTGTGTTGTTTTTCAGCTTGGAATCCTGCGATCTAACTACAGTTTGTTGTCTAAATATCTCTAAGGCTCTCCTTAGAAGCCGGAGCCTGGTATTTCTCAATCTGTCGACCAATCACCTATTAGATGACGGAGTCAAGCTGTTGTGTGAGGCCTTAGGACATCCCAAGTGTCACCTAGAGAGACTGTCGTGAGTCTTGTTGGTTTGTTTTCCCTGCAGTCCTTTTGAGCAGTCTTGTGTGACTTAGTTAAGAGCTGTATGGGCAAACTGTTTGGGTCTGGACACCACTTGGCTCATTTGTCAATCCTTGATGAGCTCTACATGAAGTCCTCTTTTGCTTTCTCTCTCATTAGACTTTTAACTGCTGCTTTTCTTCATGAATGCTTATTTTTATTACTATTTTCCTCCTCCTCTCCCTTGTATGTAGCTGCAAGGGCATTTGTAATTTTAGTAGGTTTGAAAGGTTGATTCTATAGTAGAGATATAAGGACTGTAAGTACCAGCTAGTGTCCCTGAGAAGAGGATGAGAAACATGAACTTTGGGATTTGACTGGTCCCTTCCCAACTGTGTTTCTCCTTCAGCTTAGAAAGCTGTGGCCTCACAGTAGCTGGTTGTGAGGATCTTTCTTTGGCTCTCATCAGCAACAAAAGGTTGACACATTTGTGCTTGGCAGACAACATCTTGGGAGATGATGGAGTAAAGCTTGTGAGTGATGCCTTGAAACATCCACAGTGCAATCTCCAGAGCCTTGTGTAAGTGAGCACTAGTTTTCATCCTGCTGATGTATACATTTTGAAATATATTTTAGAAGGGACAGTGTTATAAATACAATCTGTCCCTTGCATTTTCCCTACTGTTATCAATAATGATAATGCAGATGATGAGGATGATGGTATTAATGATTGCCATTTGTTGTGTCCTTACTCTGTGCTGGGCCCTGTGCTAAATTTATTTAATCTGCACAAATGTACCTGTTGGTGTCAAATTGGCCACTGAGTTCTCAGCCCCAGGTGAGAAATGTGAGGCTTAGAAAGATTATATAGTTTGCCTCATGTTCATGAGAACATGGTGGATTCAGGACTAAAGTCTGCCTGTCCAACTCCATATTCTGGGTCTAGAACAGGTAAATGTATATGAACACCACTAAACAGGAATGTAGCATCCCATGGTATGGCTGGATCACAGTGTGATTATTCTGTTCATTGCCCTTAGATGAATTCCCAGATGTGGAATTGATGAGCCAAAATTTTTATTTTGTCAGACGTGGTTACATTTTCTCCAATAGATTGTTCATAATTCCTTGGCAATCTAGAAGCCTGCATTTTAACATCCTCATCGAGTATCTACTGGTTGTTTTTTTTATCAGTATTGATTAGATAATTGAAAATAACTTTAAAAATGATTTGATGTTGAGGGGCGCCTTGCTGCCTCAGCTGGTAGAGCATGTGACTCTTGATCTTGGGGTCATGAGTTCAAGCCCCACCTTGGGCATGGAGCCTTCTTAAAAAAATAATAAAATAAATAAAAATAATTTAATGTTGAGCATCTTTTCAAATGTTTTTGGCCTTTAATATTCTAGGAATTGCCTCTTCATAGGCTCCATTTTCCTCTGGATGTTTTCTGTTATATATGTTATGGTTATTAATATGACATACATTATAGCCATTATTTTTTCTGTTTTGCAGATAATTTACCTAGCATGTTTCTGTATGTTTTCTTGTGGCCATTTTTAGAATACAGAAGTTTAAAATTCTTGTGAAGTCACATTATCTTCCTCCTCATGACTTTTAGAAGTTTTGTCATAATTGGAAATACCTTTATTTAAAAAACCCTACTTATGTCTATTCTTTATGGTTTAATTTTTAACATGTAAGTGTTAAATTATTCCTACTTTGTTATAAGGCTTAAAACTTATTTTCTCCCATATGTCAGGTCTGCTTTCCCAAATGACTTATGGTATAATAGATCTTTTCCCTACTGATTGGAAATGCCACTTTTATTATGTAAAAAAGTACTTTATTATGATTACTCCCCTTCTATTCCATATGCCTACTCCTCTCCATGTAGCTGCTTTTGCAATTAGGTACTGTATTTATGCACAGTGTGAAGAGGTTAACATTTCATTTATAGTAAAGAAGAATTCTGGGGGCGTCTGGGTGGCTCAGTCAGTTGGGCATCTGAGTCGGTTTCAGCTCAGGTCATGATCTCACAGTTCATGAGGTTGAGCCCTGTATCAGGCTCTGCACTGACAACATGGAGCCTGCTTGAGATTCTCTCTCTCTCTTTCAAAATAAATTGTAAAATCTAGCATTTGAAAAGAAAAATTCTGAAGAACATGGATATCTCAAGTGAATATTCTGAAGGATATTCTGAAGAATATCCCAAGTGAGACAGGCAAAGAGGTAATGAGGGAGAGGGTATTTGATCTGAGATGAGTGTTGGCAAGTAGGTGAGGGAGCACAGGATGAAACCTTTGCAAAATCTCTGGGCAGTAAAGCAGTGATTCCATGTGTCCTCATACTGTCCTTCCTATAGGCTGAGGCGTTGCCACTTCACCTCACTGAGCGGTCAACATCTCTCCTCTTCTCTCCTACGCAACAAGAGCCTGACACATCTGGATCTGGGGTCCAACTGGCTACAAGATGATGGAGTAAAGCTTCTGTGCGATGTCTTTCGGCATCCCAGCTGTAACCTTCAGGACCTGGGGTAGGTTTTCTGTGACCTGACCTTCCATGCTTTAACAGATGAGTAAAGAAGGGCTGAGCTGAGTATCTGTCAGAGAAAAGAATACACAGCTGATTTCTCTCTCTCTCCTCCTGCTGGAGACAAGCTGAGGAAGTATGCTCATCAGGTTTTTCTTAGTTACTACAGTAATTGTAATCAACCTGTTGTACGTCACTGAGTCTACTGTGTGTCCTCTGCTCTACATCCCTGAAGCAGAAACTGTGCTCCACTAGTTTTTCTTTCTTCAATTCATGTTTATAATTAGGTCAACTTTTAAACTGGGAAGGGAATTTTAAAAAATATCCAATAATCCAGTCATTCTGTTGTTGTTTATTTAAATGTTTTTATTTATTTTGAAAGCAAGAGAGTGAGAGCAGGGGAGGGGTGGGGGGGGAGGGTGAATCTCAAGCAGGCTCCACACTGTCAGCACAGAGCGTGACATGAGGCTCAATCCCATGACCCTAGGATCATGACCTGAGCTGAAATCAAGAGTCAGACACTCAACTGACTGAGCCACCCTGGTGCCCCATATCTCTACCTTCTTTAGGAAAATATATATGATCTAATTCTCTGAAGTTTCCTTGACTATTATTCAACTAGAAGGCAAAATTTTACTTCATGGAAATTATGTTTAAACCCAATACCTTTTATTTCAGCCACAATTTCTATAATTTCTAAGTGACCTACATACACAAGATGTTTGGTTAGTCCACTTTCTCTCCTTAGCTTTGCTATAAACAGACAAATTTGTGCTTTCGTAGCTACCTTCATAGCTTCTATGCAGGCCATGCCAGTTCTCTCCACCAAAATTTACAACAAATATAAAATACATTCTGAGGGCATTAAAGATTATTACTAAGGTGATGCTCTTGCCTCTGGTAACTTACAAAATGCTGATGGCAGGGAAATGAATATACAGCCAATCATAATATATCCCATTTGTCATAAAGATATGACAGGGATGCCTGGGTGGCTCAGTCATTTAAGCATCTTCACTCTTGATCTTGGCTCAGGTCATGATCTCATGGTTCATGAGTTCAAGCCCTGTGTCAGGCTACACACGGTCAGTGCAGAGCCTGCTTGGGATTCTCTCTCTCTCCCTCTCTCTGTCCTTCCTCTGCTAGCTTGCTCTCTCTCTCAAAATAAATACATTGAAAAAAAAAAATGACAAAAGTCCCAAGGAGCAAGGAGTGGGACAGAGGGTATTGAGTTACCTTAGCCTTGAAAGACGAAGAGGATTTTGTTGTGTGCAGATATCCTTGGCAGAAGGTAGGAAGAGCGAAAAGAAGGGGAATGAAGATAGGTGTGGTAAATTTGGAAAAAAACAAAATAAAAAACAGAAACACAGAGGTGTATGGTTGGCAAATAGGTTAGGGACAAAGTATGGAAAGAGAACGTTTGAGGCCAGGTTGTGAATGCTCTTGAATGCCCTACGAAAGACTGAAAGACATATCTTTTTATATGTAGGCTGCTTCCTCTTGGAAGGTAACACCTTAACATTTTTTTTAAAGTAGTTTTATTTCAAAATTCTATTGGAAACTGAAAGCACAGAAATCTTTGGGTTCCTTGGGTAAACTTAGATCCATTTTTTAGTATTGATAGAAATGTGATGGGGCGCCTGGGTGGCGCAGTCGGTTAAGCGGCCGACTTCAGCCAGGTCACGATCTCGCGGTCCGCGAGTTCGAGCCCCGCGTCAGGCTCTGGCCTGATGGCTCAGAGCCTGGAGCCTGTTTCCGATTCTGTGTCTCCCTCTCTCTCTGCCCCTCCCCCGTTCATGCTCTGTCTCTCTCTGTCCCAAAAATAAATAAACGTTGAAAAAAAAAATTAAAAAAAAAAAAGAAAAAGAAATGTGTTTATACCCTTGATTTGGGAAGCTTGGTGGATAACAGCCTGTTTGTGGGAGAAAGCAGTTTTACCCAATGGGGTTTTTTTTCTCATTAAGAAACCCCGTTGGTTTCTACTGATAATGTTAGACATTCCTGTGTGCGTCTTGGATTGTGGATAGAAAAGAGTCAGGAAAAGGGTTTAGATACCTGGGCTTCTCTCCTAGGAATAAACTAATTAAGCCTCACAACTGAAGGTCTCACTTGTCTCTTATATTTCTTGCAGATTGATGGGCTGTGCACTCACTAGTATGTGTTGTCTGGATTTGGCTTCTGCTATTCTGAACAACCCACACCTGCAGAGCCTGGACCTTGGGAACAATGACCTGCAGGATGATGGAGTCAAAATTCTGTATGAAGCTTTGAGACATCCAAACTGCAATATTCAGAGGCTTGGGTGAGTTCAGTTTTCCATCAGGAAAGTGATACCTATTTGGTAGCTAATGTGGCCAGAAGAAATTTAGTACATGAGAGAGGATGAAGAGTAAATGGGGCTCGAAGGTAAGTTACTCTCAGAAATGAGAATCTGAATTTCAAATATATGCATCAGTGTGTATTATGTGTTGTTAGTATTAAAGCTATAGTTCACATTTCTTTCTGTTCCCTTTAGTGCCTTAGATGGGGTATGTATGAAGTAAAAGGTCCTTGCTTTAAGGTCTTTCATGTTCTGTCATCCTTCAGATATTCTGTCTTTGAATTAATTTTTCTTATTAAATTGAAGATTTTGCTAATTGTCTTCTCTCAAAAAATGCTATCTAGGCTCTTAAGGAACCTGCAATCTAATAAGGTCTTATCCTGTGTTCTGAGTACTTTTTATGTTTAATCATGTATTGTTTAGGTGTTTATTTTCTTTTTGAATCTTGAACTGATATTGACTAGTACATTCTTACATAGCATGAATTATTGACCTTTGGGTCAAGAATTTTGCTCTGTGTGGGAAACCCAAATACTATGATAGGTTTCCCTGACTCTTCCAAGAAAGTGCTATTTTACCTTTGTTTCCGTTAACTATTCATATATTTTTATGACAACAATGATGATGTTGTAATGATTGGATCTGAAATTTAATTTTATCCTGCTTATAACCTAATAAGTTAGCCTATCACTGTTTCATGGATGCTGGCAGGAAACCCAGAGTCCCATTGGAGACAGAGGACTTTATTACTCCTAGCATAGCAGCATATGCACTAGTGTATGTGTGTCAGTTTTCTTTGTCCCCCAAGTCCCACAGGGTGGATATGGATAGCCCAGATGGACATCTGCACATGGAGTGGGTTGCATCCCATGGAGCTTGGGGGACTCACCACTTTATAGCAAGCACGAAGCAAGCCTGCTCTTTGCCCCAGAGGAAGACATCCCTCAAGATTCCACCTAGGAATTGCACACACCCCCTAGGAAGTGGCCATGTAGAGTTGTCAGGGTCTTAAATTTTTGTCAATAAATAGGAGAGCAAAAGACTCACAGAAGAATGTCTCCCAGAAATATCTGCCCCCTTTTTGTGCACAATACAGTCTTGGTTAATTTTCACTAATCTCACCAACAGAGGCTGAGGCCAAATCTGCTCAATTTGTCTCCTACGCCATTTAATTAAGGCCACCATAATTAGGACTCCAAGCATGGGAGGAGGTCAGATTGCAGTATTGATTTCAACTGTGTCCTCAGCATCCTGGACCGGCCAACTGAATGAGATCAAGGGAGGACCAAAAAGTCTTGTTATTCATTATAACTTGTGAAAGGGAGTTTAGGTTGACCTGCTGATCTTGGTATCATTGGCAATAAATATAGGGAACAAAATCTGGCCAAAAGTAGTCCCATACCCAATAAAGAGATATTCAGTGGTCCACACCTCCACACATAAAAAACATATAACCTGAAGGAACACAATTCACTTCAATGTGGGATGTTTTCTATTGATCTGGGTCACCATTACAGTGGTTTGGTTATGTGTCACTGAGTAGTTACAGTGTTAGACATAAATCGTATAACTCAAGGCTGCACTGGCATCAAGAGAAGCTTATGAGTTTGTAACAGACTGAAACAAGGTTTGTACCGGTTGTGTTTGTATACCCTTGACAGAGGTCCAGATCTGGGGGGCTGCCGCTGATGACATCAGGTGCAGCAGAACAGTTAGGACCTGCCGTATCCACGTGGAATTTTCTGTTTCCACGCCATGTGGACAGACTGGGCAGTGGGTCACTTTGCCAGCCATAGCTGCTACTTCAGCAGACCACATAATTTTTCCAGGCAGCTGTGTTGGGTCTAGGGAAGGAAAAGAAATAATGAATTGTTCTTCCCACTCCCAGCACCTCACAGGTTCTGAGATGTTACTTCCCCAGGTATTGGTGTGGCTGTTCTTCCCCACAGTCCTGAAATCAGTGTGTCCCATCTTAGTGCCTGTAACTTTGCCTTTTCTCCAATCATCCCCTGCTCATACCCAGGCTTTCAGTCCAGAGGGATCTGGCAGGAGAAAAAGCATTTTTTATAATATTTCTATAAACCCATTCTGTTCTACATCTTTGCTTGTAGGGGGACTTCTCAAGCAGTATACTCAACCAAACGGTCATTATCCTCATGATCCAAAGGTGACTCCAGGTGTCTGAAGCCAAATTAAGTTTGAACCCCACAGGTCCTTTGTGGCTGGCCTGTCACCTGGAGGGTACACCAGTTAGGCTGGCCTGGAGTTGCTGTTATGGAAAGAAAAGTATCATGCCCAGGAATAATCAAGATGGAATCCTGAAATTTCAAAGGTTTTATATGACTTTCTGTCCCTTTCAATGTAATCATTACTCAGGAAGTGGCCAGACAGAGATGAACCATTTCAGGGGATAGCCATATTTAGTGACCAAATGCCCCACTATACTATGTTGACCAGGAGGTGGTAAGGGAGGTAGGGTCACAGATCTTTGTAATTTCGAAAGATCATTCCAGAGCTCAGTAATATGCCTGTGGATGGTAGGGACCATGGAATGTTCATTGAATACCTTGACTATTGGCTCATTGTTTCTTCAAAATGAGAGATCTAAGTACTATTATCCTTGACTTTTTGTATATCTGGAAATGTCTCAGTTTTCTATGACGTTGAGTGGCAGCTTGGTTGTGTTCATATTTTGGTCATCCTTCCTCTGAGAGTTTTACAGAAAGTCCACTGCCTGCTAGCATTGAATCTAGTTAGAAAAAAGTCTGAAACCAACTGATTCTTCCCTTTTAGTGTCCTTACTGTTAAACATACTTTTTTTTTTTTTTTTTTTTTGGCTTGAATGTCCGTAGAATTGCTCTTTAGGAACAATAATTTGTCCTGTGTAGAATTTTCCTCATTAATATTTTCCTGGGGAAATGGTCTGCCATTTCAATGTGTAGATTGTATTTTTTTTTATAGGGTTTCCTGTGTTTTAATTTCTGCTTATCTAATTTGTTTTCAGGGTCACTAATTACACTTATGTTGTATCTCTTTTGTCTGTCTTTATAATTTTTTTCTAATCTTTTAAAACTCATTTTCCTTTCACTTTTCTCTAACCCATAATTTTAAGTTCATTTTCAGCAGTGATGACCCCCTTTCTGCTTCTTCCAATGTCATCTACAGTCCATAATTTTTATTTTTCTCTTCTTATATTTTATTTATTTATTTATTTATTTTAATTTTTTTTTTCAACGTTTTTTATTTATTTTTGGGACAGAGAGAGACAGAGCATGAACGGGGGAGGGGCAGAGAGAGAGGGAGACACAGAATCGGAAACAGGCTCCAGGCTCTGAGCCATCAGCCCAGAGCCTGACGCGGGACTCGAACTCACAGACCGCGAGATCGTGACCTGGCTGAAGTCGGACGCTTAACTGACTGCGCCACCCAGGCTCCCTCTTCTGATATTTTATTTTTAAATTGTTTTTCAATGTTTTTTAATAATTTTTGGGACAGAGAGAGACAGAGCATGAACGGGGGAGGGGCAGAGAGAGAGGGAGACACAGAATTGGAAACAGGCTCCAGGCTCTGAGCCATCAGCCCAGAGCCCGACGCGGGGCTCGAACTCACAGACTGCGAGATCGTGACCTGGCTGAAGTCGGACGCTTAACTGACTGCGCCACCCAGGCGCCCCCCTCTTCTGATATTTTAAAGATCTGCCTGTATTCATATGTTTTGTTTCTTAAATTTCACATATGAGTGAAATCATATGGTATCTGTCTTTCTCTGACTGACTTATTTTGCTTGGCATATTCTGTAGCTCCATCCACGTTGTTGCAAATGGCAAGATTTCATTCTTTTTTATGGCTGAGTAATATTCCATTGTGTGTTTACACCACATCTTCTCTATCCATTCATCAGTCAGTGGACATCTGTGCTCTTTCCATACTTTGGCTATTGTAGATAATGCTGCTATAAACATCAGGGTGCATATATTTCTTTGAATCCGTATATTTGTGTCCTTTGAGTAAATACCTAGTACGTAGTAAAATTGCTGGATCATTGGGAAAAAAAGAAAACCATAAAACAGATTCTTAACTATAGAAAACAAACTGGGGGTTGCTGGAGGGGAGGTAGGTGGGGGGGTAGATTAAATGGGCAATGGTATTAAGGAGGACACTTGTGATGAGCACTGGGTGTTGTATGTAAGTGATGAATCGCTAAATTCTACACCTGAAACAAATATTATACTGTATGTTAACTAACTGGAATTTGAATAAAAACTTGGGGGAAGAAAAGGAATGTTTATACACAGAAAAAAAAAGATCTACCAAGTCATATTTTAAACATTTTCACTATGAAATATAAAATACATAGAAATAAGTGAATAAAACTATTTAAAAGTTAGGGATTGCCTGGGTGGCTCAGTTGGTTAAGCATCAACTTGATATCAACTTTCATGGTTTCATGAATTCAAGCCCCACATCAGGCTTTGTGCTGACAGCACTGAGCATGCTTGAGATTCTTCCTCTCTCTCTGCCCCTCCCCTGCATTTATTTATTTTTTACTTAATTTGTTATTTATTTTTGAGAAACTAAGTTAAAAAATAAATGCATGCATGAATGCATAAATAAATAAATAAATAAATAAATAAATAAATAAATAAATGTCAAACGTGTGTAATCTCACCCAGGTCAGAAATTGAATTTTCCCAGGAAATTAAATTCCCCTACTCCTCCTTTATAAATCTCTTCCCTCCTCCCTAAGAAGTAAAACTATTATCCTGAATTTTGTGGTCATCATTTATTTATCTGTAGAGTGTGAGTGTATATAGTCCTAAGCAATGTATTGTTAAATTTTGCTAGGTTTTGAACCTTATATATAATCATACTCAGTATATTCTTTTGTATTAGGATTTTTTTTTGCTCATTGTTAGGAATTTGTCATCCAGTCATTTCATGTAGTTGTAGTTAGTTCATTTTTACCACAGTAAAGTATTCTAG